GCCTTGAGGTGCCACTGTATGGTCCTGTTGTATTCAGACTCTGTCGTCAGTATAAAGAGAGGCTCCGAGCTCTCAAGGCTGTTGCAGGTTATCACTCAGGCTATGGTGCCAATGTCAGAATTGTCTGCACCTCTGCTTGTTTTGATGCCTGAAAGAAAGCTTGGAAGGCTTGAAAAATTGCAGAACGAAGCCTTGAGGATAATCCTTGGGTGCCCTCGTACCACAAAGATACTTAATATGAGAAAGGAACTTAATATTCTGAGCGTTGTTGATCGTGTTACTGAAATTAACTGTCAAATTGGTATAAAAATGCTTAGGCTAACTCATCCTAATCCTTGCACAGAAGCCCTCCAGAATTTCTTTATTGCAGATCAGCATTGTTCCAAATGGATAACAAAAACTGGAACTCAACTCAGAATGTATGGGGTTCATGATTTGTACCAAGAGAAACAACAACGGCACTTTCCTGCACCGTGGGAGGTTACACCCTTTCCAGTTTTAATCCCTCCCTTTCCACCCAAGAAGCAAATTAGAGATCAGCCCAAGCTTCGTCTTGAGGCAAAGCTCAACGCCTTAAGCCATATTGATGCTCTGTCCACAGAGCATTCTCTCTCTCAAATTATATACACTGATGGTTCCCTACACCGCACCACGGGTGCAGCTGGAAGTGCAGTTGTCCTGACAATGGGCGATGGCCTATACTTTGAGTGGGGAGTCCGTATAAACAACTGGGCCTCTACCCTTCAGACTGAACTATTTGCCTTGATCCTTGCACTGAAATGTGTACAAGTCTCCAAACTTCATACATTAATTGTAAGTGACTCCTTATCATCCTTAAATGCTCTCAAGTTAGCCAAAGAATCTGCCTTTAAAGGAGCCGTTGAGTGTAACCTTGGATTGTCAATGAGCAATCTGAGAGCAGCAGTACACCGAGAACTTCAACAAGATCTTGTAGATCTGAGGCAAAGTGAAATTGGCACCAGTAATTCCATCTATCATCATACTATCATGCAAGAGGAGCCACACATCTATGGATCATCCAATAAAATCAGCAGACTTCTAGATGTTACTGCTGCTCGGCTTAGACTCGGTTACAAGTATCTCTGGGAATTCTCATTATCTGCTGATGTAGACCTGACCAAATGTAAACTGTGTCAACAAAATTGTTCGCACACCCTCCGTCACTATGTGATGGAGTGCGAAAAGATACGTGAATATAGAGACAGTTCTATAACCAATGTTCCAGCGATGTGTCAATATTTCATTCAAAATGATCTGCTACCAGAAATTTTAGCCAAATATTCCCAGTTTGCTAACTGTAGGTAGTAACTAAGTGATTGTAACCTATCCACCGCTGCCCACTGGATGGGGGGCGGTGTGCAGGACAAACATATAAATTTTGACACTAGCTCTCCACATGTCAGTTGCTTAATTTAGAACCTGTACTTGAGGTCGATCTCGAACCCATTGTTGATGTGACGACTTATATTGAATTTTGTAACTAGCTCATCAAGATTGTAACTTGCTTAGCTAAATGAATTGTGGGGTTCAGTCCCTGAGCCCATTATGTGCCTCTGTAACCCTTTCCACTACCGCCCACAAGATGGGTATGGGGTGCATAATAAATGAACTAAACTAAACTAACTAACGCCTTAGGATTGTTTTACCATAGGCAGTGATAATTATTAAATAATAATTATTATAATAATAATATATATAATTAACAATTGTTGTATTTAATAATTATCACTTTTTGGGGGGATGAAAGAGGGCTATGACGATCTCTGTCTGGAACCCGTAGGTGCGAGACCGGGACGTCCATCTCCTGGGGCTCGTTCGGCCCAAGCTCTGCTTTGGGAGGCTGGGATCGTTCTTGTCCTTGCTGGGGTGGTTCTTCTCCTTCCCCGACCACGGCGGTCTCCAGGTTTGGAGTCCCTGTGCCTTCTTTCACCAACTTCAAGGTCAACTCCGGAGCTCAGTTCCTGCGACGGCGCTGGAACCAATCGTATTGGCGTTTGCCTTTCCATTGGAGACTTTCGGCGCTGTGGATAGGGGGAACCTGTTGCTTGGGTAACAGCTTCTCTGTATCAACCTACCTTGGCTTTGTGCCTTGGAGAGGCCACTCTAGACTGACAACCAGAGCGCAACTCCATAGTCTCACGAGACTGATGTATGCCTACTACTATAGGCAGCCTTTTTCATTGGAAGACCTTCTGTTACCATTTTGAAGGTAGGCTCCTCCCACGGTGGGGAACAAGTATAGTTTGGGTGTGGTTGATCACCTCTGTCAAGAATCATTCTTTTTAATTTTTACCTGTTCAGGACTTTTCCAGGTCTGGCAGCCCAAGAGTTTCCGTTGTTTTGGCCTAGTCTAACCACCAAGACCTGTCGAACTGGGACTGGATCAGGGGAAACAATGATCTTAATGATAATCTTAGCTGTTCTTTGAGATATTCTTTCTTGAAGAGAGGGCAAACCCGTTTCAAGTCTTAGAGTTTCAAGCTTGGTCCACATCGGGGCTCCCAGGGCAGCTCTCATAGCATTGTTTTGGGCTACTTCAAGCTTTTTTTCCACTGTTATTGTGATAAGCTTGTGAGTGCCGGTGCGGCATAGTCGATCACTGATCTGGCTGCCTGTACACAGTATGTGCGAAGGACTTGCAGATTGGCTTCTCCAGAGAGGGAGGTTAACGACCTGAGTATTGTCGTCCGGGTCGCAGTTCGATCTCTCTCTCAAATAAGTGACCTCAGCATTAAAACTGATGTGTAATTACCTAAGTGTAATTATCTAAGTGTAGTTACAGGATGAGAGCTACGCTCGTGGTGTCCCGTCTTCCCAGCACTCTTTGTCATATAACGCTGATCTGGATGTGTGTATCCAAGATTATTCATAGATACTGATAAGTGTCAACCCATTCAATTGGTTGACCCTGTACTGTTAGTTGGATGTTGGGCTTCACTATTTTTATGAGCATGACTTTTATCCTAGTGGGGTTGAGTTTGATACTGTAGCGAGTAAACATTATACTCACTCCAACCTCTCATTACATTAATGACAAACTCAATTAACACTAAATGCGAAGCTATAATCTTTTCCCTAATTACAGGTAACATTCTTTCCATTCTATGGGAGGAAGCTGAGGTGTTGTCCAACAATATAAGCGCAAAGAAGCGAATAGCCAACCACAGGCTAACCATAGCCCGTGCTTCTTGCCCCGCTCCTGTGCCAGGTAAGTTACGGGCTCACCATAGCCCGTGCTACTTGGAACTTGTTCCAAGTAGCTGAATCTATAACAACAACAACAACGAATAGCCAACAACTCTACAGCTCCACTTCGTGCCAGGTAAGTCCACTATGGGCTCACTATAACCCGTGCTACTGGAAACTTTTTGTTGCAAGTAGCGAATCTTAAACAACAACAACAACAACAACGAATAGCCAACAATACAATTTCCACAGTGATTCAGTTAACTTGAATACAGACGATTCTGATTTACCACACCTCTTCAACCTCAAGAATGTTGCACTCGGCGTGTACAGTTCTAGTTGACCCCAAGACGCTACAGCTGCGATATAGAACAGACAGCAGACTACGACCGTATCGAGTTTAAACATTCACCACCCCATCGAGTTTAGACACTCATGATTCCCCATCGAGCCGCCACGTTTGCCCGCTTCGAGATTCGCGACTCCGGCCTCACTCAGCTCTCTGCTTTGCTCCAAGCTCTGTCTCAACTTCTACGACACTGCTGTGTCCAAGACTACTAAATAAATATGAAAACTCACTAAACACTGTATCTAATCTACTCAACAACGTAACATAATCGTACGTTACAATACCAATCTGCTTTGCCTCTTCACTGATGCAGTCAAAGTATTTGAGTGCAAGGTGCGCCGCAACCCTTCCTTTTATGATGATGACAAGGTCGTCTGCGAAGTTTAGCAGCCTGCAGTGTTGTGGGAGTTTCAACCTCATTATTCTGTCCATTAAACAGTTGAAAAGAAGGAGGCTGAGAATGCCTCCTTGCGGTGTACCGTTTTCATGCCTTTTGTATTCAGAGACTGTGCCATGAAGTTTCACGCTTGCCTCTCTGTTTATGAGACAGTTTTTGGTCCAGGAGAGCAGGTTGCCTTAGACCAACCATTTGACCTTTGACCACGTCGATGAGGCAGCAGGGGATAGCTGGGGCGCTAGCTAGTTCAAAGGCTTTCTCAAGTGTTGCTGATACAATATCAGCATTCCTGGTCTGTCATTCAAGTGGGCTAATAGAGTTGTAATAATAATAATAATAATAATAATAATATTAATAATCTTTATTTAGGTAAGGTACATACATAAAGAGATTTACAAAGTTTGTTGGCTTTATAGATAGAGCTAGTACATACAATGCCTAAAGCCACTATTACGCAAAGCGTTTCGGGCAGGAATACACTTCACTGTGCCAACCCCTCTTCTATAGGCATACATATCATGATGCAATTTAGGCATTTTCCCATTCAAGTCTGTTGAGTGCCATTCTGTCAGCCGTGGTGGCTTAATCTTCATCAATCAGGTAAAGAAAGGTAATGTTCGTGTTTCCCGTGCACTGGGTATATCTCTTGGCCCCGGTGTTAAGGTTATATCGACCACAATAACTTACTGGCCAACTAGTAAGTATATACTTTAGTTCTTAACTTATATAGTTTATGACAAAAATAACACTGTATGCACCAAGAAGCGGGGTGCACGTCTTGGTGTACTCGACATATTTCTTTCTGAAACCCGTTTAAATATCCCGCTCGTGGCGTCACTAGCTGCTGCATTCACACCTGCTCTATGTAATTTATACCTATATTAGGATATTTTGTACTATCGAGAATTTGAACAGTGTTATATATCTGTCAGATAACGATAGTTGTCGAGTGGATTAAGAATATAATCTGCAAAGATTCTGAAACTAATATAATTTTGCCTTTTATAAATAGTAGAATCACGTTTACTAGCAACATTAGCCGGGTTACATAACATTGATCAATATACCATCCCACCATGTTTGACAACATCTGTGTTATGCATTACAAGCAACTTGTTGTTATATTGTATATTGAGAGTAACTGCAGCACTGCATGACGGTGGTAGTGTGGCTAGAGGCTACCTGTACACAGAGCGCCCCGGGTGGAGCGTGAGGCCCCGGCCACACACACACACACAGCGCCCCTCGTCCAGGCTCACGCAGACTCCCTTAAGGGTGACGGCCGAAATTGATTGGCACAGCTGGCTTGACATAGATTGACACAGCTGGCTTGACATAGACTGACACAGCTGGCTTGGCGTAGACTGACACAGCTGGCTTGGCATAGATTGACACAGCTGGCTTGACATAGGCTGACACAGCTGGCTTGGCGTAGACTGACACAGCTGGCTTGGCGTAGACTGACACAGCTGGCTTGATATAGGCTGACACAGCTGGCTTGATATAGGCTGACACAGCTGGCTTGGTGTAGACTGACACAGGTGGCTTGACAGGCTTGACACAGACTGACACTTGAGGCCCCAAACAAGAGTGTGGAGCAGCAGTCATGCCTTACGCTAACCAACCCTCGCTGAACCTCATGGAACTCTCTGAGGAGAACATCAAATTTTTCATCGAGGATACAGATCTAAGGTATACAGATGCTCTCGCTGGTATTTATGGATGTATTTTGTGCTTCTGTTATCCTTATCTAAATAAATATTTGTGAAGTGCATTATTATATAATATATATATATATATATATATATATATATATATATATATATATATATATATATATATATATATATATATATATATATATATATATATATATATATATATATATATATATATATATATATATATTATATATCTTGGCTATCAGCATGTACCTAGCAAACATACAGTCTTGCCATAATTCATTTATGTTTGGTAAACATTAATCAGGTATTAAATAATTATGCGCCAGATGAGTTAGCGCAGTTAACCCTTAAACTGCTCGGCATAAGGGGGGCATAATTCGAAAAATATTCAAATTATGTAAACATTACTTATTTATTTATTTATTTATATACAAGAAGGTACATTGGGTTAGAGAGAATACAAAGCATAGTATTTACAATCTTGTAAAGCCACTAGTACGCGCAGCATCTTAAAAATGTTAAACAAATCTCAAACTTATTGGCTTCAGTGTCGTTAAACTTTCATCAAAATTTTTTCAAAAATTTATTTTAAACGAATGTTAAAAATAAAAAAGCATTTTGTTGATGATGAGAACAGCTCCTATTAACTGGAACTGATGGATATTGCAATAATAGAGAGATGCAAGCACCTGTCCCACGCACACAAAGAAGAATAGTACTAAGAAGTGTCCACAAAGTAAATATGCAGTCGGTGCCTTTATAGCATTGGTGAGTAATAGATAACAACAAATAATAATGAGTGAGTTATATAACAAAATAGAGCATATCATATAAATTCATTGCCTAATGTTATTATCAGTTCCAGTGGTACCTCGGCTTACGAGCGCCCCTGGTTACGAGTTTTTCGGGTTACGAGCAGGATTTGCTCGGAAAATTTGTACTGTATCGGGATACGAGGGTTGCCTCAGGCTACGAGGGTGTTGATACACGTACAGGCCAACTAGCGCTTGGTGGCATGGCGATCGCTGCTCAGTTTACCAGTGCCTCTTGTCCAGTGACTATCCCTCAATTCTTCACCAGGATTTACGGTGTTTTGTTGGATATTTGACCATTTGAACATAAAAGTTGTTATTATATACAGTATTTTTTTCTTATGCTCTATTTTGTTATATAACTCACTCATTATTATTTGTTGTTATCTATTACTCACCAATGCTATAAAGGCACCAACTGCATATTTACTTTGTGGACACTTCTTACTACTATTCTTCTTACTACTATTCTAGTGGTGTAAGTTACGTATTCTCATAGGAGGCAGGTTGTCAGTGGTAGAAGTTGTCAAGGGAAGCTGAAGTAATGGTGTTAGTAGAGGCTGTAGAGACAACATGTGACTGGCGCCTCTATGCTCCCCCTCCAGCCCCCCCTCCCAGCCTCCCCCCACCCTCCCTCCGACTGCGTGGGTCCTAGGTCCTGGCTCGCTTGGAGACTTACCAGGGGAGAGTTGTCCTTCTGATTCCTTGGTGGCCGACCCAGCCTTGGTTTCAGGAGCTGCTTGTTCAGTGTCTGAACCCGAGGGTTTTCCCGCAGCTCCACCTCTTTCTGCAAATCGGTCCAGGCCGGTATGAGGCTGGTTCGTTCTTCTCCTTGGGTCTTTGCATCTGGAGGTTTTGTCTCCAGTTTCTCATTTCTTGTATGGGGTGCAGGTAGCTTCGTTGTTGGTCTCCCACCTGCATGCTTCGACTCGGCGGCGATCTGAAGTTGCTGGCGGACCTTCCAGTTCCTAATACAGTACTGTGTAGGTATACTTCGGTCCCTGATAGGGTTGTCTTGTCCTTCCTTTCATGGTTGTTCCAGGCCCGTCATCTTATGCTTTATACTGTCGTCTCATATCGTGCAGTGCTGGCGGAACTGCTCCAGCTTGCGTTCGGTATTGGTTACTTCTGCCCCATTCCGCAAGCTGTTTCGTGCATTTTCACCTCCGGCCTGCTCATGCACCTCTGGTGCCATCCTGGTCGTTGGACCGGGTACTCTCTCTTCTCTCTTCTCTTCGGTTCGCCGTGGCCCCTACGGTTCAGGATTGTTTTTCCTGGTCTCTTCCCTGTTGGCATTGTCCTCTGGAGGTTGGATCAGGAAGCTTCAGGCTCTCCTCTGGTGCAGGTGTTTTTCTGCTCGTTATGTCCTGGAGGTAGGTTTGTTCGTTTGCAGCAGTCTCCGTCTTTTCTGGCGATGTATGGGTCTGCTGTTTTCCGGAGGGGCCCTTGGATTGTTGAAGCTTGGTTGGTCGGGCCGGGGGTGCATCATGTGTTGTGTTCGGTTGTGGCTCTCTGCTGTTCTTGGCACATTCTCGGTGCCGAGTTCTTTGTTTTCGGCGCACTTTGGATTGCCCGGGGTCCCTTCCTTCCCTCCTATTCTGGGGTTTGGGTCTCCCAAATTGTCTGCTGGGTCCTTCGGTTTTGCCAGTTGTCTTGTTTTTGAGTTAGGATGCATGGGATCTGCCTCCCAGGTCGTTCCCTCTTTTTTCCTATCTTTGGTGAGGTAGCTCTGGGGAGCCAACGGGACTCCCCCCCCCAGAAAACCAGCATTGAATAAAACGCCATTTTCTGGGTGAGACCAGGAGGCTCCCGGGCATCCCTCCCTCCCTCTGGACGGCGGTGTTTTTGCACGTTTTTTACATCCAGCCTAAGAATTGCGGGTTGGATCGCTGGCGCAAGGGTCTGGGGCTCCCTCTTTATCCTACTGGGGAAGGAGGGGGTTTGCACAGACGGTGGGGCGGCGATGTGATGACGTCATGCTAGTTGCTAGTTTTCATTTGGGGAGTTGTGTCCACTCATTTGGTTTTCAGTAACAATACTTTCACCACGATAGGGCTTTGTTTTGAAGTGCCTGCCTTTCTGAGTGCCCGACCCGGTCGATGGCAGACATAGAATGCTTCCAACCACACTGGGGGTTTCTATAGGCCATTGCTCCTCGTGCCTCTCTGAGGGGGCCAGGTTCTGGCTCGTGGTCCCCGGTAGGCAAGAACTCCATGCACTTTGATGCCAGAAAGCTAATAGTTACATACCAGCCTGGATAGCTCTGGGGAGCCTCCGGGTCTCACCCAGAAAATGGCATTTCATTACATTCAACTCTGGCTTTATCTATTGTAAAAATCATAATACAGCATTTAAAACTTGTGATGACAATACACATTTTGTTTACAGTGTGGCCAACAGTATCAGACGAATTCTTATGGCTGAAACTCCCACTATTGCAATTGATTGGGTCCAACTTGAGGAGAATTCAACTGTCTTGAGTGATGAGTTCATTGCGCATCGCATTGGTCTCATTCCTTTCACATCTGACGAACGCATTGAGCAGATGCAGTTCTCTAGGGTTTGTGAACTATAATTCTCTGCTGATCAGTGTACAGTAGATTAATGAACTGTGTTAAAATAATACTTTTCCTCTAACTGTGCAAATATAGGTGTACTTGTATTTTTTTGTAACATGAATTTTTAAGCATTTTAAAAACAATTCCGAGTTTGTTTATAAATTGAAACTGCTGTGAACAATATGGATTATTTAATTTACAGTACTGTAATTGCATATTCTGGAGTTGTATAATGCTTGTAGATTTCATTTGTACACAGTCAGGGACCAAGCTGTCTGAATAAATGTGGCTTTTATATTGAAAAATTTAGCTTGGTGCTTAATGTACATCTATGAAAGGATATTGTGTATCAAGCTTTAACTATTGCAGGACTGCTCATGCACAGACTACTGCCCAGAATGTTCGGTAGAGTTCACTTTAGATGTCAAGTGTCAGGATGACCATACACGTCAAATCACCACAGCAGATCTCAAGTCTTCAGATGCCAGAGTAATACCAGTCACCTCACGCCACCGTGAAGATGAGGCCAGTGAATATGGTGAATCTGATGGTGAGTGCACATTGTTTTGAGAAGTGGAGGTAAATATATTTATAGACAATAGACTAATATCAGATTGAGTACCTCTCATTTTTATGAAGCAGTATTAAAATGAAACCTGACAGATAAGACATCTGCTCTGAAAGAGAATTCCTGATCCCAGAAATCAATTAGGCTTGGTCTCACTGTTAACGGAGGAGGTCGGTTTCCTCCGCTTCCCTTCCTTGTGTGTTCCCTTTGTGTCCTCCTCTGCCACAGGGGTTTTCTTTGTGTTCCTTGGCTTCTTGGGCGTTCCTTCAGCCTGTGTTGTATGGTGCGCTTATGTGTCTTGGTCTGTTTTCATTGCTCGTACCCCTTGGTTCAGGTACTGGGGGGGGGGGGGGGTTAGACTTGAATCTGGCTCCTCGCATATTGACGCGTCTTACCCGGGTCGTGGTGACCCATCTGCCTCTGATAGGGGTTCAGGTTCTGGCCTACCTCGACGACTGGTTGGTGTGGGTTCCCAGCCGGTCTGCTTGTCTGCTCGCCAGGGGTGTGGTTCGTTCCCAGCTTGCCGGGTTCGGGTTACTGGAAGAAGTCCCATCTGGTTCCATCATGACTTTTGGACCGCTTCCCTATCTCTTCCTCCGAAGGCATTGCTGTGGCTACGGTCCCACCTTCAGATGCTTCTGGGGGGGGTTGGTCGGTCCCGGGTCACTTACTGGTTGCTTGAGCAGTTCTGTGAGAGTCTGAACTTCCCCATGCTGGTTTTCCTGTTGGGTCGGGTTTGGCTTCAGCATCTGTTCTGGTTCCTCCGGGGACGCCCCTTCTGCTCTCGCAATCGGTAGGTTTGGCCTCCATGGGCCTTGCGTCCGTTGCTGTGTCACCAGCTTCCTCTTCGGATTTACTCGAGCTCTTGATCGATGTGTTCACGGACACATCATCTCTCGGCTGGGGCTTTGAGACCAGTGCTTGCCATGCTGGTCAGGGGAAGTGAGGTCCGTCTTTCTGTCGGGCTCACAGCACGGTACGGGAGTTTGCGGCGATTTGGCTGTCGCTTCGGAGGATTAGGGATCAACGATCCGGCTACATTCAGACATTCGGTGGTTCATTGATTGAACTGCAGGGGTATTCTTCGGTCCTTGGCTCTTTGGGGCTGGTCGCTTCGAGTGGCTCGTCTGCTGAATTCTTGGGGTTTGGCTCTCGGTGTGGTTCATATCCTGGAGAGTGTCCAGCGTCCTTACGGACGACCTGTCCCGATTCATTCCCCTGTCCACGGAATGGACGGTCCACTCCGATTACTTCAGTTGGCTCTGCCGGATGTGCAGGTTCTCGGTGGCGGACTTTTTCCCATCAGCGTGGCCTTGGCATCTCCCGATATCTGTGGCGCACTTCCCCGACTGCAGAGCCATCACAGTGGACTCCTTTCGGCAGCACTGGTCGAGGTGGGGTTACATGTACCTTTTCTTCCCGGTCCAGCTGTTGCTTTGGGTTCTGGCTCATTTAGAGTCTTACTGCGGGAGAGTTGTCCTAGTGGCCCCCTTGGAAGCCAGCCCTGCCTTGGAAGCCGGCCCTGCCTTGGTTTCAGGTGGTGGCCGTTTGGTGTTAGAACCCGTGGCATTTTCCGCAGCTCTGCCTCTTTTAGCAGATTGGTTCAGTCCGGTACATGGCTGGTTCGTTCTACTCCTCCACTCGTTTGCTGCTTTGGCTGCCATCTTCAGCAACATGTCTTGGGCTGACATTCAGACACAGGGATTTTAGAGATCGAACTGGGTCCTGGCTGCCCATTATTTGGTCAACATTCGTGGTTCTGCACATTCATGTGTGGCTGGTTGTAGCCAGTTGTCTCGCCTTTGGGTTGAGGAACGCATGGCGGCTGCCTCCCGGGTAAGTCCCTCTTTTACATATCTTGGATTATGTAGCTCTAGGGAGCCGTAGAGGCTCCCTACAGAAAACCAGTTGAATGTAATGAGATACCATTTTCTCGGTGAGCCCCGGAGGCTCCCTGGCACCCTCCCTCCCTCTGGTCGGCGGTTTTGTTTTGCTTTTGATGCTTATCCTCCGAACTGGGGTTGAAAAGCCGGTGCTCCCCTTCCCCCTCCTAGGGAAGGGAGGAGAGGGGAAGGCTGCGGCTGCGAGGTGTGACTTTACTTGTTTCCTTGTTTCCTTGAAAATTAGGGGAGTTCTGCCTCCCTGTTTCAGTCTTCGGTTGCAATTTTCTTACCAGTTGGGGTGTGTTTTGTTATGTTTACCTTTCTGGGTGCGCAACCCAAGTCAATGGCAGATAAGGAATACCCCCAACCACAGGGGGATTTTCCAGAGGCCATTGCTCCTTGTTCCTCTCTGAGGGGGGCCAGGTTCTGGCTCGTGGTCCCCAGTAGGCTGAACTCCATTGACTAATGCCCTAGACTAGTATATCGCATATTAGCCCGATAGCTCCAGGGAGCCTCTGGGGCTCGCCCAGAAAATGATGTTTCATTATATTCAACACTGTTTTTTTTTTTCCAGACATTCTTATCGTTAAGCTTCGCAAGGGTCAGTCATTAAGACTCCGAGCTTATGCTGTTAAAGGATTTGGCAAGGAGCATGCAAAGTGGAACCCCACAAGCAGTGTAGCCTTTGAGTACGACCCAGACAACGCTCAGAGGCATACTCTTCTCCCAAAGCCAGAAGAATGGCCCAAGAGTGAATACTCAACCTTGGATGAAAATACACGTAAGTAACATCTTTCATGATGAGTGCTAACTTACAGGTTGGTGATAAACTATTCTACCAGCACTGTATTATTTAAGTAAATATTTCATGTGACTTACAGGATGTTATGGATACTATATATTTAAATTTCTTAATTTTAATTCTGTTACTTTAGCCGTTTAATATTAAAGACAACACTGTTGATCATGACCTGAACCAGGTCATTACAAACTTGAATTTTGTTGTGTGTTCCACTCTGTAATTTCTTTAATTATAGTTACTTTTCTATGCTTCATCAGCCATATTTCCATGAGCTCTTGACACTCGCATTTTCCTCCATACTTCTTGGCCTGGTGCCTTCTTTTGATAATTACTTCCTTTCATACTCATGCAGCTCAGGCACCTTTTGATCCTACTGGGAAACCAAACAAGTATTACTTCAACGTTGAGGCCTCTGGGGCCCTCAAACCTGAAAACATTGTACTAATGGGTATTGCCATCCTAAAAAAGAAGCTATCAGATATCCAGAACCAGCTCACCATGGAGGCTCAGACAGATGCACTGGCCATCAACTAAGCAAAAATAAGGTTCAAGTTTGAATTTCTAGAATGAGTGTGATAATAATAATATGCATCTTTTATGCATTTGGTTAGTGTCCTTGTTTATTAGGGCCTCACTTTCTTGAAAAAAATTAGAACCAAGGAATTACATTGCATGAGGAGCTTCTGACTGCGTTATATTAAGGCAAAACACGGAACATTCCAGTTTGCAGAACTATTAGTTGTGAATAGCTTGCTAACAGAATGCTGCCTTTGTAATTTCAATAAAAAAATATTCAGAGAAAGCTATTTTTGATAAATAAATCTGGCAATATGATAACTTTAACTTGATGAATGTTGTGTGCATCTATGTACAGAATTGGCATTGGAATAAGATCATTAGAACTGCACCGTAATTAGGCAAGAGAAGTAGTCAGAGACTCTCCACATAACCCAGGTATCTGGAGATACCACAGCTTGGTGGGAGTAAATTCACATTACAGAGTTATGTTGCTGCTACCTCTGCTATATTGATTAAAGTTGTTGAAATTACAGAAGAATCCAGACTACTTTCTATTTAAATTCACTTCAATCAACATTAAAATTCCTCTGGTAATTACTGCCAACTAACATACTGCAGGCTTGAAGCTCTGTGCATGATTTCCTAAACAATTTCTAACTTTTCTTATTCCTCCTTGGGCTGAGCTAACATCCTTATCCATACAATTGTTGTTACTATGGGTGGATACCAACCCTGTTCCATCTCTAGGTATTGTAAAGCTTCCTGTCACAAATGCTGTGATCTACTTTTTGAAAATTTGCTAGGCTCTCCAAAAAACAATGCCACACAAAACTGGGTATGTCTATGATGCCAATGATTTATTAATGAATTTGATTACTGTTAAAGATCATATGCAATAAAGGATTATTTTTTAATTTATAGATTCTATAGTGATTCACCATTTCTATTAGTAATTTGTGTTAGAACTATAGTTTCTGTGGGGAGCCCCTACACCTCCCTGGAGCTTATCTGGCTAATGTATGTTATATTAGACTGGGACATTAGCTAAGGAGTTCAGACCTACCAAGGATCAGTGCCAGAACCTGGCCCCTTCAGAGAGGTTTCAGGGAGCAATGGCCATGGAAAACCCCCTTATATATGGTTGGGGTTTTCCTTATCTGCCATCGACTGGGGTTATTCACCCAGAAAGGTAGGCATAACTAAACAAATCCCACATGTTAAAAACAAAAACTTAAAACCGAACAGAGAGGTAGAAACTCCCTACAATCCCAAGGAAACAAGCAAACATCACACTTTACTGCCGCGCCGATCGTCCGCGCAGCCCTCCCCACCCCGAGAGGGGGAGGGGGGAGCCCTGGACCTCACCACGCCGGCTGCCTAGCATCAGTTCGTAAGGTGATGTCAACCGGGATAGACGCTTCTCTGGCCTCAGTTTCCTAGGCGATGTTTGCCTATCGTGGTGTTCACTGCAGTGTGTTGTGTTGTGCGGTGGCCAGGTATTCCTCATCAGTACCGGGGCTGCATGCACTTAGGGGCTTCCTTCCCTAAGCGCTCTGTGAGTACTGCCCCCTGCATTACAGCGTTATCTTCCCTGGGGCATTCGGGAACCATTCCCATAGAGGTTCTTGCTGCTTGGCATTTGCCTCGCCCTTGGGGCCAGCTGGGGCTCGGAACCCTTGTTTAGCCCTGGGTAGGGACTGGTATTGTGCTGGTTAGGGCATGAAGGTGTTGCGCGACCTGCCACCTAAGCGACGACCGGTTCCTGTTGCCTCTGGGGACGATGTACTATTGCGGGGGTTTTCTTTTATTTTCATTCGCCTGGTGGGGGTCTGCCTAGTGTGGCTATAATTCCACTGGTAGTGTTTGGTGGCCCTCTGCTAGGCCCCCGTGATTGTACACGTCGCAGGGGTTTTCAGTGTTGTCCTCTACTCCTTGTTAGTTTTGGGTTTTAACTGGTTAGCAACACCTTGCCCAGGCTTCCCATAGTTGTTACCCTACGGGCCCTGGAAAACCCTGTCGGGGCTCGGTGGACCATTGAATGCGTCTTCCGGGTTCCAACCCATCTTGTGCGAGTTCGTTGGTTGCTGTGCCCTTGTCTCCGGGTGACAGCCGCCACTTTTACCTCCGTCATGTTGCCTGTTGGGTCACTGACATCTTCACCCGGAATCTTGCAAGAGATATTCACTGCTTGTTCTCCAGTACTCTCCGGATGTTATTACTGTTCAGAGTACAGGCGGCATCCGTGTTGCAAGCTAGGTTAGGTTGCTGCAACACACTAGGTTGGTTTCCCACTCGGATGCCCCGGGGCCGCCCTGTTTTGGTTAGGTGCTGTTCGCCCCTTTCCCTCCCTGTTCCCGGCTCTGGACCGTCTGCAGGTTTCGGGGTCGGGGTGTTGTCTAGTTGGGGCCGAGACTTGGGTTGTTTCGGGGGCCTGCCCCGTTCAGGTTGGGGATGGAGGTTTTCGAGCCTGTTCCTCCTGCCAAGGCTTCTGGGTCTTACCAGCGGCCCTTGCTGCCTTTCCAATGGACTCTTCCTTTTCTTTAAGGGCTGAGGGCTTGGAGGACGGCTCTGCCCCAGGGCCTCTGTTGCAGGTTCCCGGCGCTGGGGGGGGGGTGGATGCCTGCTAGCAGTACTGGGGCTGTTTGCCCCTGCCTGGGTTTTATGCTTCTGGGCGGAGTTTTTCGCCCATCCAGTCTGCTTGCTTCCCACTTTTGCTGGCGTGTTTTCGTATCTTTTGCGTCGGTCATAGCCTTCTGTTCTGGTGGTCATTTTCTTCTGCCAGTTTCCCGGCGTGGCCACCAGGGCGGCGTTGCGGTTTATTTACATGCGCCTGGGTGTGCGAGCGAGCTGCTTGGGTGAGTTTTCACCCTTTTTCAGGGGTTTTATTCTCCTGTTGTCGTTTCTTTGCTTTTCTGGTGTTTTCTGCCCGTCTTCTGTTCCTCTGGGAACGTTTGGGGTGTTGATTTTACACCAGGTTTTCCGTTTTGTCTGTTTTGGGTTTGGGCTCAGTGTCCCTATCTGTTTATGCTTGTTCCCACACCTTGTCCCTCAGTTTTCGGTCCGTTTTGGCCATTTCCCGGGGGTTCTGTCTGGGGGCTGTGCTTTGCCTTTCTGTGGTGTATCTCCACTGGCAAATGTGGTGGTTTGGGCTCCCCTGGGTTCGATTCCGGGTTCCTTTGGGTTCTTTGGTTTCGTTCCGGAGGTTTCTTCCTCTTTGGCCTCCTTTGTGGGTTCGGGGGGCTTTGTTTCCTTGTGTGTGACCCGGTTCTGCCTTCTGGGGTTCCGGGGTCTTCCTGGCTTGCAGGCTGAACTTTTTGGGTCTTGGCACGTGTTGTGGTTGTGCCGGGGCTTTGGATTTTGTTGTCGACGTGGGCCTTTTGATGCAGTTTTGTGCCTTCTTCGCCTGGCCGGCGTGGTGCTCTCTGCCCACTGGTCGGCGGATTGTAATTTTCTTCTCACGTGTAGCTGTGTGTGTACACATGTTCATGTACATGTGTACACTGTGTGTGTAATTACCTAAGTGTAGTTACAGGATGAGAGCTACGCTCGTGATGTCCCGTCTTCCCAGCACTCTGTCATATAATGCTTTGAAGCTACTGATGGTCTTGGCCTCCACCACCTTCTCACCTAACTTGTTCCAACCGTCTACCACTCTTGTTTGTGAAAGTGAATTTTCTTATTTCTTCGGCATCTGTGTTTAGCTAGTTTAAATCTATGACCTCTTGTTCTTAAAGTTCCAGGTCTCGGGAAATCTTGCCTATCGATTTTATCAATTCCTGTTACTATTTTGTATGTAGTGATCATATCACCTCTTTTTCTTCTGTCTTCTAGTTTTGGCATATTTAATGCCTCTAACCTCTCCTCGTAGCTCTTGCCCTTCAGTTCTGGGAGCCACTTAGTAGCATGTCTTTGCACCTTTTCCAGTTTGTTGATGTGCTTCTTAAGATATGGGCACCACACAACCACTGCATATTCTAGCTTTGGCCTAACAAAAGTCGTGAACAGTTTCTTTAGTATATTGCCATCCATGTATTTAAAAGCAATTCTGAAGTTAGAAAGCATAGCATAGGCTCCTCGCACAATATTCTTTATGTAGTCCTGAGGTGATGGTTTTCTATCTAGAACCACCCCTAGATCTCTTTCTTTATCAGAATTCTTTAAAGATTTCTCACATAATATATAGGTTGTGTGGGGTCTATGTTCTCCTATTCCACATTCCATAACATGGCATTTATTCATATTAATTTTAAATTCCATTTGCCAAGTGGTGCTCCATATACTTATTTTGTCCAGGTCATCTTGAAGGGCATGGCATTCATCTAAGTTTCTTATCCTTCCTATTATCTTAGCATCATCAGCAAACATGTTCATATAATTCTGTATACCAACTGGTAGATCATTTATGTAGACAATAAACATCACTGGTGCAAGAACTGAACCCTGTGGTACTCCACTTGTGACATTTCTCCAGTCTAATACATTGCCTCTGATTACTGCCCTCATTTTTCTATCAGAAAATTTTTCATCCATGTTAGAAGCTTACCTGTCACCCCTCCAATATTTTCCAGTTTCCAGAACAACCTCTTATGTGGAACTCTGTCGAAAACCTTTTTTAGGTCTAGATAGAAGCAGTCAACCCAACCATCTCTTTCCTGTAATATCTCTGTGGCTCGATCATAGAAACTGAGTAAATTCGATACACAGGATCTTCCAGATCGAAAACCATATTGTTTGTCTGGTATTATATAATTTCTCTCCAGGTGTTCTACCCATTTAGTTTTGATTAGTTTTTCCAATACTTTCACTATTACACTTGTCAATGATACAGGTCTATAATTGAGGGGGTCTTCCCTGCTGCCACTTTTGTAGATTGGAACTATGTTAGCCTGTTTCCACACGTCTGCTACGATTCCTGTACACAGGGATGCCTGAAAGATCAGGTGAAGTGGAATGCTGAGCTCAGATGCACATTCTCTCAGAGCCCATGGTGAAACTCCATCTGCTCCAGCTGCTTTGTTCTTCGTATTTTCCACTTCATCTCTAGACACCTCTATCCGCTTTATGTTGTTCTCTGGAATTCTTATTGTGTCTGGTTCTCTGAAGATTTCATTTTGTACAAACACACTTTGGAACTTTTCATTTAATGTTTCACACATTTCCTTTTCATTTTCTGTGAATCTGTTTCCCATTTTCAACTTCTGGATATTATCCTTTACCTGCAATTTGTTGTTTATGAATTTGTAGAATAGGCCCGGTTCTGTTTTACATTTATCCGCTATCCCTTTTTCAAAATTTCTTTCTGCCTCTCTCCTTACTGCCGTATAGTTGTTTCTCGCATCTTTGTATCGCTGGTATGTTTGGGGGTTTGGCCTCTTCCTATACTGATTCCATTTTTGTGTCTTTTGGTCTCTGGCCCTCTCACAATTTCTGTTGAACCAATCCTGTTTTCTGACCCTACATCTCTGTTTTGGTATGAATGTTTGTGTGCCTTCCTCGTATATTTTTAAAAACTTGGCATACATTTCATTTACTTCCCTGCCTAGCAACAAGTCTGTCCAATTACACTCGTTAAAAAAATTTCGAAGTTCCCCATAGTGACCTCTCCTTAAATCGAGTTTATCAACTGTTTCAATCTCCCCATTTTCTTCTAGATGATATCTTAAAGCATAATCAATGCCTAACAGGACGTGATCACTCTTTCCCAAGGGAGGAAGGTACTGGATGTTCAATATCTCTTCTTCTTTCCTGGTGAATACTAGATCCAGTACTGATGGTACATCTCCTTCCCTCATTCTTGTGGCCTGCTTTATGTGTTGATACAAGAATGTCTCTAGAATGAGGTTCACAAATCTGCATGTCCAAAAGTCCTCCGTTCTTGCTTCATAGGCCTCCCAGTCTGCTTTAAAGTTGGAGTCCTCCAATATCAACAGTCGTGATTTATCCTTATCTGCTTGTACAATAATATCTCTCATGACCATTGAGGCCCTCTCGTTTATCATCCAGTTCTTCCTTTGTCCATGTGTTGCTTGCTGGTGGGCTGTAGGCATTTAATATTATCAGCTTATCATCCTGATTCCAGATCTGCAATGCCATTATGTCAATATCTCGAGGGTTTTCAAATATTAACTCTCTTACCTTCAGGTGTTTTTTTCACCAGTACAGCCACTCCTCCTCCCTTCCTAGTTTTCCTGTCACATCTCCAAACTGAATAGCCCCTTGGGAATATGACTTCATTTATTATATTTCCTTCAAGTTTCGTCTCTGATAATGCGACAATATCTGGGACCCTAAGCTGGATTATATCTTGCAACTCTAAAGTTTTTGACCTCACCCCATCTATGTTGGTATATACAGTTTTCAGGAACATGTTCCCTTTTCCTTTGCTCTTTACTTCCCCCTCCACTACTGATCTTGTTGCTTTGTTTCTATGTACCATTTCACAAGCTTTCCAGTCCCTGTCACTTTGTAGAAAAAAAGAATCTGTCTTCTTCATTTCTATCTCCATTTAGACGTTTTGCCTCAATTAGGTTCATTTTCAGCTTTTCTCTGTCTTCCTTGGACAGGTCTTGTCTTATTGACCAAAGTTTGCCAACCTCATCACTCTGCAATTTCCTGGCATTTCTAAGCACTTCCATCATGTTTTTCACTCCATTAACCCTCACCCTTAAGGGGAGGTTCTTGTCTTTCTCATTTTTCATTTCTTTCTTTCTCATTTCATTTGTGTGTGTGTGTGTGTAAAAAATTACCTAAGTGTAGTTACAGGATGAGAGCGACGCTCGTGGTGTCCCATCTTCCCAGTACTCTTTGTCATACTGTATAATTTTTGAAACTACTGACGGTTTTGGCCTCCACCACCACCTCACTCTAACAATCCCCCCCTGCTTCCTGATCCTCGTGTTCGGGCTCTAGTCTCCAGTAGGCCAATCGGACTCTTGGGGCTGATGTGGCTCATTGGTGTGGAGCTATCTCTGCAAGATAGCTACTGGGAGCGACCTCTCGGCCCCCTGCAGAAAATTACCATATACTATATACAAAAGCAGACAGCCTTTAACAGTTTATCCACAAACTGACCAGGCAATCTAAGTAATACCAAATTAATTTAAATTATTCCTAAAATATCATTATTTGAATATGGTACTATAAATTGAAACTAGAAATATATGTTTTCTCTATTGTATATTGAATCGCAAAATAGGTTCTGCTGTTTAAGGCTTAATCTGCCCAGTCTTGTATGTACAGTACTGTATATTGTACATGTGTCGTCACCCAAGTCTGAATATGTGTGTGTGTGTGTGAAATCATTTATGATGTGTGTAATATATAGAACTCTTTTTATAACTTAATATATTTCTTGACAGCCCAGGCAGAGTTTGACCCAACAGCCAAACCTAACAAGTACTACTACAATGTGGAGAGTGCAGGAGCGCTCAAACCAGAGAATATCGTCCTGATGGGGATTGCAGCTCTTAAGAAGAAACTATCAGATTTGCAGAACCAGTTAAGCATGGAGGCTCAGTCAGATGCATTGGCCATCAATTAAGTTTTGTTACACACACACCACACACACTCACACACCACACTCACACACACCACACTCACCACACACACCACACACACCACACACACCACACACACGCACACGGCTTATTCATTCTTTCATATTAGTTAAAATAATTAAAGATGATATTGATTGTTTTGTGTGATCACTGGTGTGGTAGCTTAAGAAAAGATTGTTACAGTAGTATTTACAGTAATATATAATCTTTGCCACAAATGCTTTAATTACTGTGATTATTATGTATTTTTTGTTTATTGACAGTTTTTGCTGAATTTATAAAGGTAGTATACATTTTTATTTGCTCTGGTCTCCAATTCTAGTTACATAGTTTATGTAAACAGCAGATATGAGATGGATTTATTCCACAAATATAATGATTCAAGAATGTACCGTGCCATATCCATTGTAATATTACAAGATGGAGGGGGTTATTTGTAGAGTTCTATATCATTTACAGTTGTGGGGATTCCTTGTATGTGTAGCATTTCAGGCAAGAATAAAGCCAACAATTTAAGACTGTGTATTGATTAGGCCAAACAAAAAAGTAAAGTTAGTTTCTGTACACGAAATAAATAGAAAATATGACTGGTCGATCAGAAAGCTTTTCATTGTCAATCTGTTTTTTTTTTTTTCATTGACAGTAGGGGTAGTGGTGGAGTATATATATATATATATATATATATATATATATATATATATATATATCGTACCTAATAGCCAGAACGCACTTCTCAGCCTACTATTCAAGGCCCGATTTGCCTAATAAGCCAAGTTTTCATGATTAATGTTTTTTCGTCTACCTAACCTACCTAACCTAACCTAACCTAGCTTTTTTGGCTACCTAACCTAACCTTACCTATAAATATAGGTTAGGTTAGGTTAGGTAGGGTTGGTTAGGTTCGGTCATATATCTACGTTAATTTTAACTCCAATAAAAAAAATTGACCTCATACATAATGAAATGGGTAGCTTTATCATTTCATAAGAAAAAATTAGAAAAAATATATTAATTCAGGAAAACTTGGCTTATAAGGCAAATCGGGCCTTGAATAGTAGGCCAAAAAGTGAGTTCTGGCTACTAGGTACGACATATATATATATATATATATATATATATATATATAGTCTGTCATGTATATACTAAAATTTATTTATAAATGTTTATATATGCACTAGTCCTTCATATATTAGTCTCATGATTATAACCTGCTGTATTTGGTCCACTTGTGTTTTTGTACACATACACAGGTGTAAAAATGCAGGTGTATTTTTTACACATACACATGTTTTTTTTTTTACACATTATTTGGTAGCCCACATCCCTGTACAGTAAGAGTTCCAGCAGTACTGACATAAACGGTTTGTTTGTTTCGGGAAACCTGAAGCATATTGCTTCTAATAACAAAACTAGTTGGAACTACAATTAAACTTGTGTATGAAATTTAAATATGCATTACTTTATTGAATTTATTTGCATGGCATGTAATGTACTAGCCTATATAACAGAATACAATATATATGTCTATAAAATAATTATAAAAATAATAAGAGTATGAGATGGTTACACAAATTATGTAGTAATTTATTTGAAAAATTATAAAGATGTTGACAAGATAATTTTCAGTTAATAATTACTTATGTACTGTACTTACAATTAAAAATGACTTGGTAGTTAAGCATATTTGACATTGTGATAATTTCTGTTAAATAATAATGCATATGCTGTTGTTAGTAGTTCAATGGTATTGTTATGTTAAAATTCTTAAAATTTATTCATGTGCATTTTTGCACCTCTGTACGGAAATTTATTTTTCTACTATTTTCACTGAAGAGCAGATAATGTTGGAAAACAGACAGCCAGTGTATATATACATGTTAGGCTTGTATCACGGTACCCCCCAGGGTCAAATTACTGGCTCTTCCCAGGATACAACCTCACAAGAAGCTGACTAACTTCTGGGTACCTATTTACTGCTAGGTAAACGGGTTCATTATGTGATAGGAAACACGCCCATCCATTTCTGTCCTGCTTGGGGTTTAAACCCGGGAATTCCCTATTATGAGTCGAGAACAAACCCGACTGCACTATTTGGGACCCAAATGGACGGTATATATATGATATCCTAAATTAATTTGCTTCTTATATGCTTTTTCACTACTCATGAGTTGTTTTGTCATAGAGCAAATTCAAAATGACTTGCCAATATTTTACATTTTATTAGCAGCATTTCAACAATCTATTATCAGACTGCCATGTACAATAATACTGTGTAATGGTCAGATCATAATTGGTATGACTTGGGTTTGATTTCTGTGCAGGGTCCCATACTTCTTGGGGGGCAGATAGGCGCACTCTCCTTGCTTTACATTCTTCTCTCGTCCTGTCTAAGCTCGATTATGGTTGCCCTGCTTACTCGTCTGCTTCTCCTTCTACTCTTCGCCGTCTTGATGCTTTGCACCATACTGGGTTGCGCCTCAGTTCTGGTGCCTTTCGTTCGACTCCCGTCCTTAGCTTGTATGTTGACACTGGCTTCCTGTCTCTCCAGGACCGCCGTGATCGCTACTGTCTTCGCTATCTTGCGCGGTCCTTGCAACATCCTTCCTCTCGCCTCTGTCGTGCTTTAACTTTTACCCCTCCTGCGGTTCCTGTTCCTCTTCACCACCTCCCTCTTTCTGTCCGGTTATCTCTCCTGCAGGATTCTCTTTCCGTTCGTATTTCTGATGTTTCTCCTCGTGTTGTTCCTTCTTTGCCCCCGTGGAGGGTCCCTCTTCCGCGGTTTTGTACTTCCTTGACCCGTATCACTAAAGCTTTTACCCCTCCTGCGGTTCTAAAACGCCTTTTCCTCGAGCACTTTTCTTCTCACTCCCGCTCCGTTTCTGTCTTCACCGATGGGTCTAAGTCAGCGGACGGTGTTGGCTACTCTGTTGTTTTTCCTGATCGCACTTATATGTGTCGCTTGCCTCCGGAGGCTAGCATCTTTACAGCGGAACTTTATGCTATTCTCTATGCTCTTCGTCTCCTACTTTCTCGTTGTCAGTCTTCCTTTGTAGTTGTTGTTGACTCTCGTAGTGCCCTCATGGCTCTCGGGTCCTTTAATCCAGTTCATCCAGTGGTTGTCGAGATCCAGCATTGGCTGTTTCTCGTTCATAGTAAATTTAAGTCGGTTGAGTTTTGTTGGGTTCCCAGCCATATTGGTGTGTCTTTAAATGAGCGTGCGGATGCTGCCGCCAAGGAAGCTGTCCGCTCTTGTCCCATCTCTCGTAAGGGCATTCCGTATTCCGACTTTTACCCGGTTATCCATTCCTCAGTCCTTACCCGTTGGCAGGCTTCTTGGTTGTCTGTTACTGGTAACAAGCTACGTACTCTTAAATGTTGTGTTTCCTCGTGGCAGTCCTCCTTCCACCGTAACCGGCGGTGGGAAACAGCTCTGGCGAGGTTGCGTATTGGCCATACTCGCTTAACCCATGGTCACTTGATGGAGCGCCGCCCTGCTCCTTATTGTCCTAGTTGCATTGTCCCTCTTACGGTCGTGCATGTCCTTCTTGAATGTCCTGACTTCCAGGACGAGCGTATGTCTTGCTTTCCGACCGCCCCTCACGGTCACCTGTCCCTCGATAGAATTCTTGGTGACTCGGATACTTTTGATATCGTTCGCCTTATGCGTTTTTGTTCTCGTATTGGCATCCTTGGTGATATTTAGCGCCCTCTGATTATTTTGCGTATTTGATGGTGCTACATAGCCTTCCCGGTTTGGTGCCTTCTTTTGATAATTACTTACTTACTTACTTCTGTGCAGGGTGTTTCCTTACACCTGATAACTTTGTTCACTTAGCACTAAATAGGTACTTAGGAGTTACACAACTTGGTTGTATTCTGTGGAAGGGCAGTTATTGGACTAAAGGAATGTAAAATATGCCTAAGAGGCATTCTGTATCCAACAGAAAACCATTTATAAACTTAATGTGAAGATTGCGATAACAGGACAGCTTTATGGTCGTCCTCTTGTGTACAGGGATTCCACTGAGCTTTTGGGGTTAATCTTTGGCGCTCGTTTGTCTTGGTCGCCCCATATCTCTTACCTCTAAGTTGAATGCTCTAAGCCCTTAACCTACTTAAGGTGTTGTTCCATGCTTCTTGAGGAGCGGATTGGTGCACACACCTCTCTTTGCATTCCTCTCTCGTCCTGTCTAAACTCGATTATGGTTGCCCTGCATACTCTAATGCTTCTCCTTCTACTCTTCGCCGTCTTGATGCTTTGCACCATACTGGGTTGCGCTTCAGCTCTGGTGCTTTTCGTTCCACTCCCGCCCTCAGCTTGTATGTTGACACTGGCTTCCTATCTCTCTCCAGGACCGCCGTGATCGCTACTGTCTTCACTATCTTGCGTGGTCTTTACAACATCCTTCCTCTCGCCTCTGTCGTGCTTTAACTTCTACCCCTACTGTGGTCCCTGTTCCTCTTCATCGCCTCCCTCTTTCTGTCCGACTATCTCGCTTTCAGAATTCTCTTTCCGTTCGTATTTCTAATGTTTCTCCTCGTATTGTTCCTTCCTTGCCCCCCTGGAGAGTCCCCCTTCCAAAATTTTGTACTTCCCTGACCCGGATCACTGAAGCTTTTACCCCTCCTACGGTTCTGAAACGCCTTTTCCTTGAGCACTTTTCTTCATACTCCCGCTCCGTTTCCATCTTCACCGATGGGTCTAAGTCTGTGGACGGTGTAGGGCTACTCTGTTGTTTTTCCTGACCACACTTATGTGTATTGCCTCCCTTCAGAGACTAGCATCTTCACAGTGGAACTTTGTTATTCTCTATGCTCTCCGTCTCCTGCTTTCTCGTTGTCAATCTCCTTTGTGATTGTAGTTGACTCTCGTAGTGCCCTCCTGGCTCTCGGGTCCTTTAATCCTGTTCATCCGGTGGGCGTCGAGATTCAACATTGGCTGTTTCTTGTCTCTAATAAATTTAAATCTGTAGAGTTTTGCTGGGTTCCCAGCCATATTGATGTTTCTTTAAATGAGTATGCAGATGCTGCCGCTCAGGAAGCTATCCGCTCTTGTCCCATCTCCCGTAAAGGTATTCCTTATTCCAACTTTTACTCGGTTATTCATTCCTTCATCCTTGCCAGTTGGCAGGGTTGTTGGTCTTCTGTTGTTGGTAACAAACTGCGTACTCTTAAGCGTTGTGTGTCCCCGTGGCCTTCCTCCTGTCACCATAACTGGCAGTGGGAAACGGCTCCAGCAAGGTTGCGTTTTGGCCATACTCGCTTAACTCACGGTCACTTATTGGAGCGCCGCCCGGCTCCTTATTGTCCATATTGAATTGTCCCTCTTAGAGTTGTGCATATCCTTGTTGAATGCCCTGACTTCCAGGAAGAGTGTGTGTCTTGCTTTCCGACCATCCCTCGCGGTCACTTATCCCTTAATAGACTTCTTAGTGAATTGGATACTTTTGATATCATTCGCCTTATGCGTTTCTGTTCTCGTATTGGCATCCTTGGTGATATTTAGTGCCCTCTGATTATCCCGCACATTTGATGGTGTTGCATAGCCTTTCCGGTTTGGTGCCTTTTTTTGATAATTACTTACTTACTTTGTCACCTGGTCATAGAATTCTATTAATTGGCAAGGCAAGATTTATCATCCCTTAACACATGGTGGTTACGGTCATATGTTACAAAATTCTTTC